TGTTGTTGTTGTTGTTGTTGTTGTTGTTGTTGTTGTTGTTGTTGTTGTTAAGCCATGTCCTCCGATGTCCACCATGTCCACTCTCAGTGAAGCTTGCAACAACAAGACTTCCGATGTCCCTGCAGGTTCTTGCGGCGGGTCCGTCCCAGATGCGTGGTGGTTCACCAGCCAGAGGCACTGGATGGTCCAGGAAGAAATGACATCGTTGTAATTTATGGAATGATGTTTCTACTCGCGTCAATTACCAAGAGACGGTGCCTGTGCTCAAAAAAACCACTATTTGGTGGTTGGTAGGTAGAGATTGCAATTGACTCTGGAATCCATCTAGAGACAGAACTTGAGGATTGACTATCCCAAACAGGACAAAAGTGGACTTTGGCTGTGGAATTTGTGACGTTTTGATTAGCTATGGTCTCTTGAGTGGAAATCGATGGTGAACGATGCTTCTCTCGCTGCTGTTCCAACTCTTTGCCAGGAAGGCAAGGGCCTTTGCAAAACCTTGGCGGTCCAGTTGAGCTCCTTGGTGAGATGGACATCCGGTTTGAAATGGCTCCAAGGAATGGGACCCCTCCCGCATCCATCGCTGGACCCCTACCCCATATTGCGCGTTTCCTCCTTGACGGTGACTGGTGTACCGGTGGCTGAGCTTGGAGAGGAGGAGCTCGGTCCCATCTTGGAGAGCGAGAAACTTGTGAGGGCACTCAAGTTCTGAGTGAGCTTGGCTACTTACCTGAGACTTGCTGGATCAGGAGATGAATGGAATACTTATAGGGTCACTTTGTGAGAATCGCTCTAATCACTCAAAGAGACCTGCTTGTCTAGACGTTTGTCTAGACGTTTGGATGAGAGGTTGACTAAGGCAACCTTGCATGAATGCGTCCTTTTGATGGCAAGCTGCACCACGGATCCAGGTTTTCTGGGAAGAAACGATCACAGCCTGGTGTGAAAACACATTTTCTACTTCGGCTTCAGAGGGATCTCGCCTTGCTTTAGACATGGAGAGCCTGGGCAGATCCTCCTGGCAGACAAAATCCCTCGTTGGATGGCAACAGGATATCAATCGGAAGGAGCCCTTCCCACGGTGGAGAGCGGAGGCTTTGCGCAACCGAAGATCAAGTGGTGAAGAATTCGCATTGACACTTGGATTGGTTGATCGACGTTTTTGAGGTGTTATTTTATGGGTCAGTCCCGGCGTGTGTGTGTGTGTGTGTGTGTTGTTGGTCAGAAACGGCTTGAAAGGACACTCCTGAAAGCCGGACTTTGGGCTGATGTGGCAAGGGCTTAGATATGGCGCAGGCGGGAGAATCTGGGGAAGTAGTGATGGCTTACTCATGCATACCCAATCGCATCGCAGGCTGAATGTGGATGCACTAGCATTCCTTAGACAAGTCAATAATTGACTCTTTGGTCCCTATGACATCCCATGACAAATATAGTGGTTCGTGCATGAATGGCTGCCCAGCAAACGCAGCTGCTACTGTATCAACCGCTGCCTTTCGGTTCTGAGCATTTCTGAGCCCCTTTGTGAGGGAACATATCCCGTGCTTCAATAGTCTCAGCGTTTGCCAATCTTTTCGTCATGATCAGCCAACTTGCTTTGATTTGCACTACGGTGGCTTAACTGAATAAGTATTGTTGGTGAGCGCTAGGCTGCAATGCATCCCTGACGATACTTGTTGTTTGGCTTCGGAAATATCTTGTTGTTTGAAGCACTGGAGGCACCTATTGTACTCAGACTCATTTGGATTTTGACGACATATGACCCCCAATCTTGATTCTTTCAATCCCAGCTTCAACCTAACCATATTGACGAGGGCTTTGTCTCGGTAGAGGACTTGGAAATGGTATTCAGATTGTAAAGAGTGCTACCTGACGCGTTGCTTGTTGGCTCACGCCAGCTTTCACGAACCTGAGGTTTTTAGTGTGTTTGCTTCTAACAGCAACATTCTCCCCAATGGCCCTCCGAATTCATGTGCATATTGTCCAACGCCTGTCACATTCTTTTTTTGAGGTGGGGGGTGGGCATGGGCTCGGAGGTAATAACGCTCGGTAGTTATATATATATAATAAGTGTTTTTTGCTATGTAGAAGACAGACATGATTTGAAGACGTCATGTAAGATGGAAGACACTGTTGGTCTCCTCGTTCGGTCCAGGAGACCAGTGTGAAGGACGACCGTTCCGTCCCTCCACGTTTAGAACTCGGACGGCCGTTTCGTTGGTTCCGATGTCCCCGGTTCTGGCAATCGGAACCGGCAATCCATATGGGCAACAAGCTAAAATCTCTATCAAACAGAGTAATTCGTCGCACAGATTGACTGACATCATGCATTTGGACCTGCAAAACGCTATGCTATATGAAGTCCCAAAAGCGATAACCTTGGAATGAGCACATGTGATGGCAAGTACTGCGATTCCTGACAGCACAATTGCGCATGGAATTGTGGAACAGACAGTGTTGCATGCGAACATTTACACGTTTCCCACGCACGCATTGCGCCCCGACCATCTCTCAAGCTTTTCGTAGAATAGTTGTGGTAACGTAAATAGAGCATATTCTCGCAACATCCCGGCCTGCTTGCGAACATGTAAATGCCCACAATATTTTCCCAAGATGTATCTACGCTTTGAGCGATAACCAAATCGAAAACTAAACGATAACTATGTTTGCACAGAAATGTGCTCTTGTGATGGATGGCCCAGATGTAAAGAGATTTTGAGAGAAATCATTTTTGCGACTGAGAGGGTCAACCGCTTTTTGCGTGTAGGTGCTCAGCTACCATGAAGAAGCTGAGGTAGAGATTTTATAGGAGTAGGTGTGGCCGTACCCATTTGGCAGGTGATTGACATGGATGCTTTCAGGGTTTAATGGAAAACGATTTAGTGAGTTCCCTCCCAAGCAGGATAACTTAAGCTAACCCATGCAAACACCAATTCAGGTTTTGCCGATCGCTCATCTTGCAATCGCACTGTAAACGGGACAAGGATGCAACTTTCTCGTGTAAAACGCTGGACTTTGTAGATGCGCTTTAAACTCCCTGACAACCGAAATGCTGTAAGGGTTACCGAAGCGTCCATCGCACCTTGGAAGAAAGTGCGCGTTTTGCGCGGGGTCGTTGCAGGGTCGCTGCAGGCGACGTGACCTTGTTTTTGCGCCGCTGTCCACAAGCATTATATGAAGTTCCTGCATCCTTGCCTCGCAATATGGCTCTTGAATGCCTGATTACTCACCTCAAACGAGCCTTCAAAGATTGTCACGAAAGGTAGCCTGGTATGGGCTACCTTGAGTTTGCTTTGTGAAGCAAAGGGGTATCTTGAAGAGCCTGCTCGGAACCGAAATTGATATATCAGTTCTATTGACCCCCCTCCACAGTGATGAATACTTGATGAATCAATCATTTGGTGACGCCCCCCTCGCCAGCACCACTAGCATCGCCCACCATAGCATGACGCCTATTCACTGGCAGCAACAGCAATGCCCCTACAATGAGGTGCGCAACACGGCTCTTGCACAACGTCTTTACAAAGCGCGTGCAGCTCTGGGACCACAACTCTTGCACATGCCAGCCTTTGCACGCGCAGGCCAGCGTTCACACACCATATATAGCTCTGCACAAACGAGCGTTGACGCAACACAGCCTCTACGCAAAGCCTTGTTGACAAACCTCACCCGACCACATGCAGTAGCGACCTCTCCTGGTGACCCAGGCCATGTGACATACGACCGCATTCGCACAGCACAAGGGGCAGTTCACAGCTGCCATACAGCCTTAAGCGTTTAGACACCACGGATTTGACATGATGTGACGTATTTCTGCTCAAAACATTGTTGACACGCTGCAGCCTCTACGCTGAGCAATGCTGGCGCAGCACGGGGTTTACATGAGCCCCTTCTTGCACCACACCACATGCTGTATAGCAACCTCTCCGTGCAACCACGGCCACTCTTGTGCGGAGCATGCATATGACATACGACCTCATTTGTGCAGCACCGTTTTGGCACCAGGCATTTCTTACACACCACTGCTCTTACATACACCAGTGTTGACAAACCTCAAAGTGCGCCACACCACATCACATGTTGTAGCAACCTCTCCCCGCGATCTTACGCGGAGCGTGCGTGCGACATACGACCGCATATGCGCAGTAGCGTGCGACATACGACCGCATATGCGCAGTACAAATTGCAGGCTGTTTTTGCAAGCCACAGCTGTTACACGGCCCTGTTGCATTTAGATACTGCTGCTTTCATACGAGCCAAAGTCAAAATCGTAGCGTTAAGTGTTTATATATATTATAAAATTGATAATTTTTGGTGAGTTCTTGCAGAATCTTGCACATTCCTTGGAAAACGAAGCCGGAAAACCAAAAACGAAGCCTCTTGGTGGGATGCTTGCATGTGTATCCTCTTGGAGTGCATGAAATGTGGTGTCTCAAAACGAAGCCACAACGAAGCCCCAAACGAAGCCAAAATCCACGAAAAAGTCTCGTTTGTAGACCCCTGCCCCCAATGCACTGTACTGTAAGAAGTTCCTTTGCTGTACTGGTAGGTTATTTTAAGACGTTCCTTTGCTGTACTATACATTGTAAAGGTCTAGTGGTAGTATAACTCACCTGGTGAACAAACAAAGCATAGTAGCCTAACTGGTGCATTTCCTTTTCAAAGCGAAGCCAGAAAACCAAAAACGCAGCGTCCGTAGAAACGATCAATTTGTGTTAACTGTCATTTTGCCGATCGCTCATATATTTCTGGTGACTCTCTACCTTTCGTGTTTCTCTGTCTCAATAAGTTTGTTGTGCCAAACGGCCCCACAAGTTTTTTTTTGACACCGTCCTCAATTGCGCATGTCCGCTTGTGTCATGTGCGCAAACATGATTTTAACATTTATAACAAAGACAACAACAGAGTTTTTCTGATTCGATTTGAAGATCGATTGATTGCATTGTAATTAACAATATATATATATATAATATATATATATATATTATAAACATATTACATCAGCATATTTTACAGAAAAAGTAAATATAGAGGTGTTTCAGCCCACTAACTCAAAATTATCCAGGGATCACTTCACTATCCTGAGGTGGTACTGTGCATTGATCAGGGCTTTGCTGCTCGACAGCTGGGCGACATTGCCCTTCATGGAAACCTCCAACCATCGGCAGAAGCAACAGCAGCCTGCGAGGGCCAGAACAAGCATGATTGCAAGCACTTCAAGGCACATAAACACAAGGACATGGCCTGTGTTTTTAACCCCAAAGTGGTATGACAATGTGATGGAATTTTCCCTATACACTTGTTTGAACCAAGAGTTCCAATATGCTAGATCTATTTGCAATGACTGACCAGGGGTATGAGAGAGCCTATTCCAATTCACACCTGATCAGTTTTCGACATAGCAACAAAAACAACACATTTGTTTGTAACCGCCAGGGTGCACTTCAATATTGAAGACTAGTGACCTACAAATGAAACCATTCAATTGAAAGGTCCCCAATTTGGAGGTTTCAGAATCTTATGCTCGTTGAAGGTGTTGTCTGGCAAATCCAAAGCCAGATGACACTTTCGCATCATGTTTACGGCGGATGTCCTTGGTTTTGAGCCGCTTGTCCTTGAGTGTGCTGCCGAAACTGTGGATCCTGATTCTGCATTTGGGTGGACAATTGACAATTGTCAACAAAATTCCCGGGTCTTGCAGATGTGATAGTGGAACTCTTTAAATCCACTGACACTGCTGCATTGCCTTTGAAGGCAGCATTTCCGAAATTATGTAGATTTGCAGGCCGTGCCCAGCGGTTACAAGTGCGACTGGATGTACGAGTGCTACAAGGGCGTGCAGAAGAGCAACGAAGCTCCAAAGAGCCACCCCTCCGCAACCTGGCAAGAGGATCATCGCGGAAGCTTCGGAGGCGGTAAGAATGCTTAGCATGCAATTGTTTGTAATTATCAATAACTTTCGCTCGGTGTTCTCCCACTTCTCTCATCTATAGGCCAACCTCGCTTGATACTTCGTGGTTGATCAGTTTCGATGTCCATTGAGGAGTGTGGAGCTCTGAAGATGTATGGTGTTGGCGCGTGCATTACAGTGAGCTTGGCGCCACCTACGCCACCGAAGCCAATGACATCTGATGAAGAAGCGACCGACGTTCCAAGTGACGAGGGGTCTGAAGAGATTGAGGAAGAGGATGAAGAGGAGACAGACTTGCCAGGAACAGTGGCTGGACTGCAATGATTTGCCGCAGTCCGCAGTCGTGTTTGTTTACAGGTTGCTACATGTTGTTGCTACAAACCGAAGACACCAAGCAGCAGAAACAGCTCTACCATGTATGGAACCCAAGGTGGAAGATGAGGTCGCGAAGATGGAGAAGGAGCTTGGAGTCATTGGTGTGGGACCGTAGGATGGAGTTGTTCTCTTTGAAGTGTGATGAGGATGTAACTTCATAGCATCCATCAATTTCGATGATATTTGAAGGTTCTGGTTGTGTAAGTTGTGTGTGTGATAGTATAAATACACATATTGAAAGACAAGGTCCTAAATGTCGTTGAAGCCGTCATGAGGCTCGCCATCAGTGCACGATCTAGATCAGAAGCGGAGGATTTTTTCATCAGAAGGTCTCCTGTGCTTGCTGAAGCATTTGCCGTGAAGGAGCCTGACACACCAAAGGTTGAACCTGAACCTGAGACTCCTGAGACACCCAACTTTGAAGAAGAGGAAGAGGAGGAGGAGGAGGAGGCAGCGCGAATGGTCCACCTTCAGAATACGGATGGCTTCGCAGTTTTGCATCATGAAGATAACACGGACGGCAAATCGAGACTCATCTGGACATTTCCCCTTACGTGAAGGTTCCAAAGCGAGTATGATCTCATTTCCCCAGCTATAGCCCCAGTTAGCCAGGGTTTTCCACCCTGCTAACCTGGACTGGTTCGGATGTCGCAGGTGGCTGAGCCTTCTGTGTGTTGCTTGGCTGCGAAGCTGTTGCCAGTGGCACTTTGTGTTTCCAAGCCCGAAAGGCGTTCCCTTTCCACCCAGCAAGGCTCCTGAAAAGGAGTCGCTGTTTATATCCATTGACCTTCTCAGTCACTAGCATGACAGCAGCTGTGAAACATACCAGTTGCACTGGGATTCTCTGAAGGTATCAATGTCCTATCTGTTGAAGTGAGACTCAAACATAATTATAGATTTGCATGCACC